TGAGAACATGACAACACTTCTACCATACGCACCACACATTAGACAGCCCCAATAAACCAGCTACTAGACGACGCCAACGATCTGTCGAAATATAAAATTGTTATAATCCTGAAATTATCGAACACTTTTGGGTCGTGAGTTACCAGTGTGTGGAGAAGAAGAATCCAACGGCATCCACAGGCGACTCCTAGTTTTTCACAAACACAGTGTGAAGATTTGATTTCCGTGCACATGCCTTCCCACACACCGAGCAATTGAATGGCTTCTCGCCCGTGTGTGTTTTCTGGTCTTGGTGGAGATTTGAAGACCATGCAAACCCCTTCCCACACACCGAGCAAATGAATGGCTTCTCGACCGTGTGTTTTTTTCTGGTGACGGTAAAGAGTTGCTTTCCGTGCAAATGCTTTCCTACACACCGTGCAATTGAACGGCTTCTCGCCCGTGTGTACGTGGCGCCGAGAGTGTATTTTCTCCATGTGACTGATTCTTCAGAGCAGAGTAAAAGTCGTTGTGAGAGTTAAATGACACTGATCAGCTGCGTGGATGTCTGGAGTTTCTGGATGTGTTTTCACTAATTGCCAGACGAACTCACTCAATTCTATTTAAGACAAATTAGGTCCCGTAAGTCGGACTACACACGCGATTACCAGTTCATCCACTAACATAGACACTTTACCTGGTGATGCAGGGCTTATCGATGTCCGTGTAACCTGTCTGAAGAGATCGCCACTAACTCTCCCGAATCCAAGTCGACAACCAGTCGCCACGCAATCGTGCTCGCTCGGCTGGGTCTCGCAGGAGAAGGGTAATCTGCAGAGCGATGAGTCGAGCGTCTATCCTCAGTAAAATCCTCTCCAAATGGTCTTGAGGTCCGATTTTAAGCCCCTTATTACTCCCTTCTTGCATCCAAATCCTTTGTTCTCGAATTGGCCTATCATGAACTTTGCATTCAATTGTAAAGTTTTACATTTACAATCTGCATATATAGCAACATAGCTTACCTAATCTGGCCATTGTACTTATACCTTAATGCGTATTTACATTTCACTGTATAGTTGTACGCTTCCGTTTGAATTAAAATTTGCATCTCTCTGCATAATTTCGTGCATCGTGTTAATTTGCTAATTAAAATACACTGGCGAGAAGCCCTTCATTGCTCTGTGGGTCAAGGCATTTGCACTTCAAGGGCGTCAGGTGGTTGACGAAGTTGGCGGTTTGATCCTCGTTATTGCTGCAGGTGAATGAACTGTACTTTTTCATAGGAAATTACTCGTGGCAGCGGAATACCAAACGAATGGGAGCAGCTCTTCTATAATTTATAATAATTGTAACGAGTAACAGCTCCACGCGTTTTGATTTGGTTCGTGTGGTAGATGTTGTATTAAATACTGTATATATCTTGTCTTAAAGCTTTCGTGACTGCAGGAATTCACATTATCTGGGTCTTTCGGTATTTTTTATTGTTCTCCGTGACGTTACCGAGAGACCCAAAGAATATACAGGATACAGTTTTTCGATTCCATTCAGATGGCACATACATCCAGTTGTGGATAGTTTTCGTCGAATACTACCATAAGCGATTTGATTAATTACAAATCTGAACCCCACCCCCCCGCCCACGGTCGCATATCTGACCTCCGGTACACATATAACATACATAAGAGTACGGTGTGATTCTAATACGACCACAGCATACACACACAAACGAGCCGGGAGAGGGTGAGCGGGGGGAGAGGGCGAGCGGGGGGAGAGGGCGAGCGGGGGGAGAGGGCGAGCGGGGGGAGAGCGAGCGGGGGGAGAGAGCGAGCGGGGGGGGGAGAGCGAGCGGGGGGGGGGGAGCGAGCGGGGGGAGAGAGCGAGCGGGGGGAGAGAGCGAGCGGGGGGAGAGAGCGAGCGGGGGGAGAGAGCGAGCGGGGGGAGAGAGCGAGCGGGGGGAGAGAGCGAGCGGGGGGAGAGCGAGCGGGGGGAGAGAGCGACGGGGGGGAGAGCGAGCGGGGGGAGAGAGCGAGCGGGGGGAGAGAGCGAGCGGGGGGAGAGAGCGAGCGGGGGGAGAGAGCGAGCGGGGGGAGAGAGCGAGTTGGGGGAGAGAGCGAGTGGGGGGAGAGAGCGAGTGGGGGGAGAGAGCGAGTGGGGGGAGAGAGCGAGTGGGGGGAGAGAGCGAGTTGGGGGAGAGAGCGAGTGGGGGGAGAGAGCGAGTGGGGGGAGAGAGCGAGTGGGGGGAGAGAGCGAGTGGGGGGAGAGAGCGAGCGGGGGGAGAGAGCGAGCGGGGGGAGAGAGCGAGCGGGGGGAGAGAGCGAGAGGGGGGAGAGGGCGAGCGGGGGGAGAGGGCGAGCGGGGGGAGAGGGCGAGCGGGGGGAGAGGGCGAGCGGGGGGAGAGGGCGAGCGGGGGGAGAGGGCGAGTTGGTGGAGAGGGCGAGTGGGGGGAGAGAGTGAGTGGGGGGAGAGAGCGAGTGGGGGGAGAGAGCGAGTGGGGGGAGAGAGCGAGTGGGGGGAGAGAGCGAGTGGGGGAGAGAGCGAGTGGGGGGAGAGAGCGAGTTGGGGGAGAGGGCGAGTGGGGGGAGAGAGCGAGTGGGGGGAGAGAGCGAGCGGGGGGAGAGAGCGAGCGGGGGGAGAGAGCGAGCGGGGGGAGAGAGCGAGCGGGGGGAGAGAGCGAGCGGGGGGAGAGAGCGAGCGGGGGGAGAGAGCGAGCGGGGGGAGAGAGTTAGTGGGGGGAGAGAGTGAGTGGAGGAGAGAGTGAGTGGAGGAGAGAGTGAGTGGGGGGAGAGAGTGAGTGGGGGGAGAGAGTGAGTGGGGGGAGAGAGTGAGTGGGGGAGAGAGTGAGTGGGGGGAGAGAGTGAGTGGGGGGAGAGAGCGAGCGGGGGGAGAGAGCGAGCGGGGGGAGAGAGCGAGCGGGGGGAGAGAGCGAGCGGGGGGAGAGAGTGAGTCGGGGGAGAGAGCGAGTGGGGGGAGAGAGTGATTGGGATGAGAGAGTGAGTGGGGGGAGAGAGTGAGTGGGTTGAGAGAGTGAGTGGGGGGAGAGAGTGAGTGGGGGGGGAGAGAGAGCGGGGGGGGGGAGAGCGAGGGGGGGGAGAGAGCGAGCGGGGGGAGAGCGAGCGGGGGGAGAGAGCGACGGGGGGGAGAGTGAGCGGGGGGAGAGAGCGAGCGGGGGGAGAGAGCGAGCGGGGGGAGAGAGCGAGCGGGGGGAGAGAGCGAGCGGGGGGAGAGAGCGAGCGGGGGGAGAGAGCGAGTGGGGGGAGAGAGTGAGTGGGGGAGAGAGTGAGTGGGGGAGAGAGTGAGTGGGGGGAGAGAGTGAGTGGGGGGAGAGAGCGAGTGGGGGGAGAGAGCGAGTGGGGGGAGAGAGC